GGAATGGCACGCGGTGGCACTGCGGTGCACCCATGACGCCACCGGCCCCAAGCCTGCGGGTGGGCGGTGGCAGAACCCTGCGTGCCAGCTCGACAGCCTCTCGTTTTCCTCCTCCTCAGCTGATCCTGTTCTTTTTCTCCATGGTGGGGTGATTGTGGTGTGATGAGTGTCAGCGGTCCGTTTTTGTCACCGCTGAGACTGGCTACGGTGTCGGAGCCCCGGAGCAGGGCTGCAGCCCGGGCCTGCGTGGTTAATTCCGGGCTGGTTGGGCCGAGACCTCGCCGTGGAGAGCGCTTGCCTCGCCCCATACTTTCCGGTCATGCGGCGTCCGGCTCTGAGCTGGACACCGCAAGGCCACGGCTTTGTCTCGCCCGTGTCTTCCCTTCACGGGAAAAATAGGGCCTTTCCGCTCGTGGGGCTCACAGCGGTGTCACCTTTTCAAGGAAGCTGTTAATATCGTAAGTTATTATTTTTGAACACAGGTGGATGTGAAGGATTTAACCCCAAAACCAGGTGGTTTTGACCTTTCCCGTCGAATGGGCGGCGGTGGGCTGGCGGGGCTTGGGCAGTGGAGGCCCTGTCCTCCCTGTCCTCACTAGGACGGGGACCGGGACGTTGGCCTCCTGCTGCAGCTCTCGGGGCCCCTCTGTCACCCCCACTGCCTGCAGTGCAGCCGCTGTTTCAGAGCACAACTCTGGACCACCTCAGGGACCGCGAGGCTGCCCGGCGCCCTGTGCCACCTGCGCGTGTGAAGAAGACGTGGAGGGCAGAGCTGCGGCAGTCGCCTGCGTGCACTCATTGCTGTTTTAAGAGCGGTTCCCAGGCTGCCAGTTCGTGACGGCAGGCAGCACGCAGGGTGCGGGGTGAGTCCCGCCCGCTCGGAGGACTGCCCTGCACTCTGGCCTTCCCACTGTCACGCCTACTGTACTGTGACTCCTAGATTCCGTGTATTTTTATTATAAATCTTTGGAAAGAAAACCCCACAAACCATTAAAAGGTGTTCATACCCACGCGTGCCTTCTTGCGGACCAAGAGTCGGGGTCCTGGGTCTTTGTGTCGTGGGCTGCTGGGCGGCCCGGGTCCTCTGTGGGGCCGGGATGTCCCCCTGGCTGCCCCATGTGACCTGGCAGCCCTAGTCTCGGGGAGCGAGACCCCGGGCCAGTGCCTCCCTCTTCCCCACAAGGCCCTGGTTGTGTGGGTCCTTTCTCCCTTGCAGGATGGTGAGGACAGCCCACCACGCTCGGGTCTGTGCGTCGGGTGTCCCAGGGCCTCCCGAGCTGTGCTTCCTTCGCACTTTGGAGTTTCTGAGGACAGAGCCAGGCCTGTCGCCTGCTACACTGCACCCATCTCCCTGACAGGAGCTGCAGGGCTGCACATCGGACAGCTGTGTGCACGGTGTCCTCGCACTGCCTGGCTGCACTTTCCTCTGCCCACTTCCTTCTGCACAGCAGCCGGGCTTGCGCAGTGTACCGAGGACCGGACCCAGGCACGGCCTGTAGCACTGAGCTACACCCTCAGCCCTTTTTTATTTTAAGACTGGTTCTTGCTAAGCAGCTGAGTTGCCCAGGCTGAGCTGGATCTTGGGCTCCTCCTGCCTCAGCCTCCCAGAGTGCCGAGATTGCAGGTGTGCACCACCACGCCCAGCGGGGCCTGTGGGTTTGAACTGGGCTCCCTCCTTGCCCGTGGGACTGCGCAGCCTCAGGTCTGTCATCTCATGAGCTGGTGCCGCAGCAAGGTCCAGGGAGCAACTCAGGCGTGCACTGCTGCTGGTGTGAGCTGGCGAGGTCACTCTGGTACACACCTGGCATCACTAGTGAAGTGACCTGGGGCGGCTGTCACCCAGCCATTGCCCGGCCGGTGTCTGCACGGGAAGGATCCTCGTGCTGCGGGTGACCCCAAGCAACGACGCCCACGTGAAGTGCGCCCCCTGGTGTCCATGCCTGGGAACGGCTCCCGCTTCCCGACTCCTGGAGAGTTTCGTGGGAACCCAAACCGCGCTCAGCCTGGCAGAAGGCCCTGGAGCGAGGAAGTGGGAGGCTCTGCACCTCAAGGGGAAGGCCCAAGTGGGTTCCCTGTTTGCACAGCTGTGAGAGCGGGTCCTCCTCTGTCCAGACCCCTGACACGCGCGGCCCCAGCGGCACCCGGGTGACGGTGTTGGCGCCGGGCTTGGGGACGTGTCCGGAGCCCGGCCGGCTCATGTCTCGGGGCCATCGGGGCCTCACGGCTGCACACGAACCCTCTCAGCTGCTCGCATGGGGACAGGCGCTCGAGGTCTGTGGTCCGTGGCTTCTCCCGCTGTGGGAGGCGGCTGCGCGGCAGGGCGGGCAGGGCGGGCAGGAGCTGGTCAGCGGTGAGGCGTCAGACCAGCCGGGAACCTGGCAGCGTTCCCGTGCGCCATGGCGAGCTAGCTGAGGAAGAACTCAGAAAACGGTTCTGTGCACAGCAGCTTCCAGGGACAAAATATTTAGGAATCAGCCTAACCCGGGGGATGAAATACCTCCGCCACGAAGATCAGAGATGCTGGAAAGAAAAGCGAAGATGGTAGGAGGTGGGGAGACCACCACGTGTGCGGCAGGACTGGTACTGTTCGGATGGCCATAGTGAAAACAGCGATTCAGTGCAATGCTCGTCAGAGTTCCGGAGCTACAAAAAGTGCTTCATTTCATATGGAAACACAAAAGGCCCAGCATCGCCCAACCCGTCCTAGGCAAAGCCAGGTGTGGTGGTGCACGCCTGTGATTCCAGCACCCGGGAGGCTGAGGCAGGAGGATTGTCACGAGTTCAGCCTGGCCCGCATAGTGAGACTCTGTCTCCAGGAAAAAAAACCAGACCAGACTACAACATACATAGACTGCAAACTACGCAGACACATAGAGCACAGTAACATGAACAGCGTGTAAAACCAGACACAAAGTCCCATGCACCAGGACAAAGGACGTGGAAACAGACCCAGCAACTACAGCCATCTGATTCTGAACAAAACACGCAGTGGAGAGGTCAGCCTCTTTAACAAATGGTGCTGGGGAACTGGGTTTCCGCAGCGTAGGAGACTGAAACGTCAGCCCCCTCACCCTGTACAAGAGTCAGCTCAGAATGAATCGAAGAAGCAAGGTTGGGAACCTCGAAACTAGGAGAAAACACAGGGGACAGACAGGCAGGACTTGCAGGCGCAGCTCCGGCGCACAGGAAGTAATCGCAAAAGCCAAAAAGGAGACGAGAGCAAGGGAAAGGTTGTTAACAAGGGGAAAAGCCAACAGAGCATAGAGCCAGACTATGAAGTGGGAGAAAATCTTTGCCAACCACCTTCCGACAGGATTAATATCCACAGATTGTGAAGAACTCAGAAAGCACCACAAAACCATAGCCCAGTCGGTCCACGGGCAAATGAACTGAGGAGGCACCTTTCAGAAGTGAGGTGGCTGATGAGTGTTTTAGCCACTAGGGAAATGCAAGTCAGAGCCACGGGACGTTGGCCTCCGCCCAGTCGGAAGGGCTGTCACCAAGGACAGGTGGCAGTGGGTGCTGGCCAGGATGCAGGGGAAGTGGGGCCCTCGACCCTGGAAATCACAGAGGGCCCCAGAAAGCTGAACGTGGAGCTGCCGGCGGTCGTGGGGAGACCTGCACAAGCGTGTTTATCGCAGAGCAACTCAGGGCAGCCGAGATGGGCAACGGCCCGGCTGTCCATGAACAGATGATGGATAAAGACAGCGTGGTGTCTGTAAAACACCATTGTGTCATTGCAGGAAAATGGATGGGACTGGAGATCTTCAGGTGAAGCAAAATAAGCCGGGCTCAGCGAGACAGGGTTCTGTCTTTTCCCTAAGAAGTGGAATCTTAAGAAAACAGGAACGTGGAAAGTAAAAGGAAGACACTTACTAGACAAGTGGAAGAGAATAAGGAGGGAGGAGGGGCAGAAGGGAGGGTAAGAGGAGGGTGCAGGTGATCAAAATACATGTAGGAAAATTCCGAACTGAAACCCTGAAATGAATAGGCACTAAGAAAACATTTTAAGAAGTCAGTGATGTCCAATTATTTCCGTGTAATTCTGGCTGCAAGTAACAGATGTCCACTAACAGGGCCTTAAGCCAGGAGATGTTTATTTCTCTCGCATAAGGAGAAGTCACAGGCAGTTAGATGCCAGGGATCTGTGTCTGCCACTTTGCAGATCTCTCCCTCACATCACAAGATAGCTGCTGTGTGCTAGCCATCACATCACTGACTGGCCTCTTTACCTTTCACACAGCCATCCCAGCATTTCCTGGCCCACTTTTGCTTTTACCTCACTGGCCAGATCTATGTCCCAGGACTCTGCTTAGCTGCAAGGGAGTCTGGGAAAGAGAGTTTTTAGTGTTTACAGTCTGAAAAATGGGACCCATGGGCAGCGTATCTCTATACGTACAGCAGGGACTCCTGAGGCAGCTGAGAGGTGACTCTGTCCAGTGTGTGCCGCCTCCTTGGGCTTCGTCTCTAACCCTACAGCATTTGGGCTCTGAGAAGACTGCGTGTGTGAAAGAGCTCTGTGGGGTGCAGCACAAGATGGGATTGTTCTGGCCAGGACTGGATCACTCCCTCCCTCTGCTACTGACGCCTCTCCTGAGCATAATATGCCCCGAGCCCCCTGGGCAGTCTCTCCTTGCTGCAACTGGATCAGCACAGGGCTTCAGAAGCTCCCACCACGGCCGTCCTGTCATGGAAATCATGGGCTTTCCAAGGAATGGCTTCATGGACAAATCAGGGCAAACCCCCCACGGCCAACCACCCAGCCTCCTGGTCCTCAGGAAGGATGGGATGAAACGGCAGTTTAGGAACAGAGGGCCACACCCCGAGGCCCCAGGCCGGCTCACACCCGCTTACCCACCTGCTGTGTGACCTGGGACTATGTCCGACCCCTCTGTGCCTCCCTTTCCTCCATGTAAAATGGGGGTGGTGAGATATCAGTTAATTTTCTTGGTGGTTGCCATGGAGACTGCGTTCTCA